AATTTTCTGGAGGCGCCCCTGTGTGGGATACGAACAAACTCTACAGGTGAAATCCCAATCCTGCTTCTGCACCATCTGCATCCAGTGCAGTGTTTCTCTACCTTCAGGTATTCTCCAGTATGATTCCCATCAGGAGAAAATTTGGGGATCTTGATGCTGATGATATCATTTCCAATGGCCTGCAGGAAGAAGGTGGCTACCACCCACAGCACGTTGATGATGAAGTACAGGAAGACAGCCTGGAAAATAGGACAGTTTCAAGGTTCATATGTTTTAGCATTAGGCACGAGGCTGTAACATTAGGATCCTATGATAGCCACTCAGATGACAATTAGACCTAAAGGGTTTTTATGTTAACGGTAGTTTGTGACACTTTAAATGTATGGGATTCCCACACTGGTCTGAATGGGAATGGAAATATTTTAAGTAAAAACCAAACTAAAAACCAGTTTAGTGTTACCATATCATGGATGACTGGATTTTAAACAATTATTAACAACATTTAGGTCCATTTTGTGACTAAAATATTGACTTAATGTAAAAAAATGACATATTTCCTTTTTAAATGTTGGCAAACATCTTTTAAATAAACAATGCAGTATGAGTCAGATGTACTAAATTAGTTTTATATTGTGATAAATACCACAGACATGCATCCACGAGGATCTGCTGCTTTAAGAAAATCAGTCTTGCAGCAGAGCTTTTCTCTAAAAGTAGTTTTTATCTCTCAACTGGTGTCAGTTTGGATTTGTATGAATGTTACCTTAACACGTTTTAGTCCACATAAACATTTTTTTCTGACAACAGTAATTAAAAAAATCTATTTTACTAAACCTAACCCTCCCACCCCCATTAAAACTACATAAAAAGGATCACAACAACAAAGCCCAAACCGTTTATTCCATCTTAAATATCCTCCAGCCATACCCATGAGGTGCAAATGACTAACCCATCGAGATCTCTAGTAAATAGACAGAGGAGCAAAACAAGCACCCCTCTTGTGGAAGGCTGCAGTATAACTATTAAGCCCCGCCTCCACCATTAATTGAGAAAAGCACTTTACTTGCCACTGAGAGTTCATATATACATTTTCCTGTCATTTATCAGCACAGTGATTGTGTTTAGAGGTCTTGGCAGGACATTCAAGCCTCACATTCCTAGTGTGCAGTTTCTGCCTCCAAAAACACAACATTTTGAAAAAAGGAAGTATGCTGAGACGTCTAGTCTAATTATTATATAAGGTCATGGAATTATCTGTGCAACACACCAATGGGCCATTCCCATCTGTACCGGGTCGGCCCGGGCCGGGTAGCGTAGGTTGTTTACATATCTGGGTGGCCTGGTATTTTTCCGGGCCAACCAAGGCTCATTCTCAGCCCTCTTCTCGAGGGGGTCTGCTTCAGGCCGACCAGGGCCAACACGCCCACCGCTGACAGCAAAATCACACCTTCCATTAGTGCAAGCCTCTGATTGGTGGGTAGAATCAGCCCACATGGGCTTAAGACAAGGATGTGTGGAATCAACCGGGCCAGGCTGGGGCCGACTGGGGCTACCCGGCCCGGGCCGACCCGGTACAGATGGGAATGGCCCACAAGATGTTGCTACATGATTGAAGATCATGCTATCATGACACAGATGACTTGATGGAGTCATACCCTATTCACGAGGCCATCATGGCCAGCCCTGCTTTAAGATGACTGAGTCACAGCAATGTACCACCAGATGGACATTCTTCCATCATACTACCAGTGTTGCCAACTCCCCCTGATAGAAAGTGGCTGACGTTGTCCCAGAAAGTCACCAAGATGTTGCCAGATGACGTCAAATGCTAATTTGCATATTCATGATGTCATCACGCCAGATTGGCTTTCATTTTCCCCATAGCATGTAAAAGATAGATTTTAAAAACATGTTGGTCTTTTTAGGACTAAAAGGGAGGAAAATAAAAAACTATTTAATGTGTTCATGTTATTAATTAATATGATTAAATGGCCCAAATTGCTTTGATATGTAAAATAAATTCCAACAGTATAAATACAGTTACATTAAGACAGATATGGTGTCGTGATCCAAACAGTTCTGTTGTAGGATATACCTCAGACCTGCTTTCCTCATTCTCACAGACATTTTCCTAAAAAGCTGGGTTTTTTTTTACACCTCATAGTTTCTCTCCATCGTGATAATAACGGCGCACCGAGCAAAAGGGAGCGGGTGTCTCATGGTATAACAATCCCTGTGTCACTGAAGGAAATTCAGATGAGCCACAGAGCTGCGTGTGTAAACGGGATGGTAGTTGAAACTCCCGTTGACTTTATTTGCCAAATGCAGGAAAAACCAAAGTGTCTGACGGCTGCAGAACCAGAGATGGCAGGTTGATGCCTGCGCCGTCTCTAGTAGAAGCGTGAGCCTGCAGCAGCAGTAGACGTAAGTCGGCGGTCTCCAGCTCTACAGCTGTACCTTTTGTCTTCGCCCAGCCGAAAACGGTTTATGATTGGTCAGTTCTCGTGCACATGTGCAGATTATCGCTCTCTTTCCTTACTCCCGGAAGAACGGTTCAGAGTGCAAATGGTTTCTTTGTTGCTAATCTGTAGGGAATATCTAAGAAATATCTAAGAAAGTTCTACAGAAAGTAGCAAAGGGTCCTGAGAAATGTCACTAGATTTATCGCTAGGCGCTTTTTGGAAAAAAAGTCGTTGAGGGGGGTCAAAAAGTCGTTGGGAACAGCGACAAAGTCGCTGAGTTGGCAACACTGCATACTACCTTGGTCCTTGGTATCAAACAGGTAGCCCATTGCATCCTTCAAACATGCCTGAAGACCTCAACAAAACCACGTTCAGACTGATTTTTGCGCGTTGTAACAGAATCGTCATCATGTGAGATCCTGTTTTGTTGCTCTAATCGATTAATCAGAATTTCAACATTTAAACAATAATCACGTGGAAAAACAAATGTATTAAAATAAATGATTTAAGCCCTACACGTTTGCTGTAACAGAAGATGCAGATTGTGTTCACCTTGTTGCGCAGTGACTTCAGTTCTTTGCTGACTCTTTCCTTGTGTTCCGGTGAGTCTTTGATTGGGGTCAAGTATCGCTCAATCAGCTTTTCCCAGAAGTCCTTCTCACCCTAAACACACACACACACACACACACACACACACACACACACACACACACACACACACACACACACACACACACACACACACACACACACACACACACACACACACACACACACACACACACACACACACACACACACACACACACACACACACACACACACACACACATTTTGAAGGATTAGTTTAAAAATGATAAATGCAAATGTTTGGTTTTCTTAGTGTTTGCCCGGCAGAAATCCCTCCACTCCACAACTGGAAGACAGTGACCATCATTACTGTCTTGTGTTTCCAAAAGATAACACGCAAAAAACACAAAACCACATACACATAATTTCATTCCATGTATGAAATCAAACCAACATGTGTTCTGTAGAAGTAAACCAGCATAACATTTGGACAAAATGAGTATTTACCTCATCCAGTCTTTCAATTTGTGGTGCAGCGAGGGTTTTCTCAATGGCACTTTTTACTCTCTTCTCTAATTGCATCATTCGATCGTTTTTAAGGATTTGCCGAGCCTAAAGTACAAAAAAGTTATTTACACCTTGTATTTTTTACTTTCTGATAATCCAAAAACCTACGTCGTTCATTCAGCAGTATTTCAAAAGATAGAAACCACAAATCAGCTGAATAAACTGATCTGAAATAATTCTTGAAAGAAAGATTTTTTTAAACTAAATTCAATCTAATCACCTGCTTTGTCAGTGCATGTTGTAGCTCCTCAATTTTAGGCTGATCCAAAACATCCTCAGGTCCTACTGAAGCCAGCTCTGTCGTCAAAGTGTCTGTCAACATCAGGACCAACTCCTCACACACATCATCATAATCTTTGTTGCGGAGTGTGTATCTGGGCCAGGTGCAAAAAACAAACAAACAACCAAATGGTTTAGAGACATGTGTTGCAACCGCCATCAAAATATCTGCAGATGCCATTTCAAAGTCTTACAAGTCAAAACGTAGACATTTACCGAATTTGTGCTTGTAGATTTCTCTTCATGTTTGCACAAGTCAGCTTCTTCAAAAACTCATGTCTCACAGGCTCCACCCAGTCTGTAAAAGGTACACTATTGTAGTATACCACATGTACTTCAGCATTCAGGATATAAAAAATGAATCCAAGCTTTTCTCACCGTTGACAGGGATTTCTTCTACTTCCTCTAAATCATCAATCATGAAGTTAAGCTCCTCTTCATCTTCATCAGATGAGTCTGGAATGCTCTTTTTCTCAATACTGTTGCTACTGTTCACAATCACAAGTACGCTTATCAGCTTTTGGTTAAATTATTGGTGATTAAACTTTCTGTGCAGGTAGTTTTTATCTAACAAAATGAACATAATCATACCGATCACTGGTTCCAGCATCACTTCCTTTTGACCCCTTGTCTTTGTGTTTGTCAGCTGGACAATGTTTAAGTTCCACGGCTTTTTCTGGGGAGGCTTCCGCTTTGGTTTGAGGCTCAGGTTTTGCGCTAGATTGAGGGGTTTTCTCAGGGTTTGTGGAAATTAGAGGAAGTGCTTGCTGACCAACCACACCGGTGATCTGTTGGAGCATAAGATTTTCTGTTTCCTGAGTTATCTGCAAAACAGAAGAATACATTATAACCATCTACTCAGTGAAAGGGTTGGTTGTAGGTTTCTGTTTACGTCACTTGTATTTTCATGTCCCAGCAGCAAAGTTTACAGTCTCTTTTGCACAGAAGATTGTGGTGCTTTTTCTGTTCTGCTTCTCCCCTAATAGAGAGAAGAAAGGGCAGTCAGAAGAGAGAAACAACAGAATAAATGAAGATATGTTAAGTGTTAAGAAGATTGGTGATTGACTGATTAGGTTGATGCTTGTTTGTAAGCTCAGATACTCTTGCTGTCATAATTAACAGAAGATTGATAATTTGGTGGACTATTTTCAATCAAAAGTCCAAAAATATTACTGTGCCTTGATTTATTTTTCAATCAAACACCAAGCAGCACAATCAATCTTTTACTGGATGTGAAGATCAAACAATCTACATTTTAGTCATTGGTAAAAACTGAAATGAGTCCCACAATCATACAATTCATGCCCCTGAAATTTATTCACACTGTTCAAAAAGTAGCAACTTTGACCCCAGAATCAAGCCTGGAAATATCCACTGGCTTTTCAAACTGATTGATTGAAATTTCAGATTTTTATTTTTAATGTCATAATCAAATAATTAAAAGTTGATTCAATACGGAAAAGTATGTGTTTGCCTAAGCTCCTTTCCATTACTTGTTCGATTCTCTTGTGCCCCAAGACACATTGTTCATGTTAACCAGTGAGTAGATGGTGAGAAGGAGGTATCCACTGGGGATACAGATGAAATACATCAGACCATATATAATCAAACCTGGAGGAGACAGTAGTGCAAAATCATGTAAGAAAAACTTTAATCAAAGTATTTGACACAACCAAAAAGTAACATACTTTAAATTGACATATTATAATGTAATAAAACATAACACCAAGTTTTTTTAAGTAAATTAAGATCAATGAAATGTGAAATATTTAAGTAACATACTGTAACATTACAAAGTAACACAATATTGTAAAGTTATATAAAGTAACACAACATAAGATAACAAAAAGTAATTTGAAGAAGTAATGTAAGAAAATGTAAAGTAATGTGTGATTGTGAGGTAAAATATCCAAAGATATTTTAATGTAATAACAAATCCTGTTGTTACACGACATGAACTGCATGACATTACTTAATATAAAGTAACATAACATAACATAATGTTTTATTTTTGTAAAAAAAAAAAAGAATCAAAAGTAATGTCAATTAGGAATACGTTATTTTAAATAACTTATCGTCACATAAAATAATGTATCATGAAGTAATGTAACAACGTGATATGAAGTAAAGTAATGTAATGTAAAGAAATGAAATATGATGTAAAGTAGTGTTATGTCAATTACGGCACTGTAGTAACTAATTGATAAGTAATGTGAAGGAACAAAATATAACCAAAGTGCCGTAAATTATTACATCATGTAACATGTTGTAATGTAACAAAATGTATAAAAAAAACATCAATAGCAATTTTAAAAGCCAGTAAAATTTTTAATAAAAGGCCTTCTATCTCTTCTATTCTAATCTATTTGGAAAGAAATTCTAATAAAAAATTGAAGAAAAAGACGAAAGACAAAAAAAAATCCAGAATGTTTGACACCGTTTGACACTAGTGTGTAAAAGCTGTTTAAACATTTTCACTTGTGGGTGGAAAACCCTCAATCCATGCCAGTGTTATGATAGAAACATACTCATTTCCTCTGGGTGTAGTACAGCTGTCACCAAGTACATGATTGCCATGGAAACCAGAAAAACTCCAGTTGGGGTCAAGAATGTCCCTTGCACCACCATGTCACCTAAAATGAGAAAAAATATTGTGAAAATGTTTAAACCATTAATAAAAACATAATTTAGTTTAAGTATTATACTGAGTTGGATGGCTATGGAGATAGTCTCTAGCTCTCCTGTAGCTACACTCTGCTCCCGACTGCACTTTCTGTGCTCGATATCTTCTTACTCAGCCAATCCCATGGTTCAAACAATTAAGATCTGGAATCAGTGTGGACGGTCTTTTGGTTTAATTGGATTATCGTTTGCTGCCCACAGCAGGCATTGAACAGTTGGCCTTAAGGTCTCTCTATATTTACATGTTGATGGTACATTTTCCTTCTGTGAACAACTAGTGGTCAAATTTCATATTCAAAACTCAATTCTTTGAGTATCTACAACTGAGACACGTTGTTAAATCTAACTGAATGTTTTCCCCTGTGCTCATCTCAGACTCTTCTTGATGAGAACTTGGACTGTTGGACAACTTCTAAGAAAGCTTTGAGCAGACTTTATACTAGTGATATGAAAATTTTGGGCCAATATCAATATCCGATATTAAGATCGCTGTTATGGCCTGTTGGATGAAAACATCATTGAAATGATTTTGACTGCGTAACATCTGGTGCTAAAGTTAAACGAAGGTTTCATCCTCATTATATTTGTATTTGTACTCTGTGGCTCTAACAGGGAGAATTGACCTTGCCCTCGGTACCAGAACTTGGTGCTGGTGCCCCCCTTATCAGTAGTACTCTGGGTTATGGGCCAGACAGCTCTGTTGTTTTAGAAATTGCACCTGGTGTGCCTTCCTGCCTGAGAGGCTGTGAGAACCTCGAATGTTTGTGTGTAATTGTGTGCGCGTTTATCATTTTGTGTGTCTACCTTAATAAATGCTTTCGGAGGGTTTTGTCTGATGAGAGTGAACTGACTACCGACTCGTGTGTATCATTTCATCTCTCCACTTTGCAAAGTCTCAATTTATTGTTGGTTGATTATAGGTATTGGTAATTGATCAGCTGTTTATTATAACCCCTGCGTGTTGGACTTTCCCTAAGGTAATCCTGGATGGGAGATAAAATTACCTAACATGGCCAATAACCAATATTTGCCGATACCAATATACTGACATTAATGCTTCTAAAATCAGCAGATTTTGTATAGAATAAAAATTATTCAAGCTGAATTTCCATTATTATGTACACACAACACACACATTTACGCTTCTGAGATGATTTCATTCACCGTTCACATGACTAAAACAATTACACATCATCCCCCTCACCCTCTGAAACAGGCAAACAAATGGAGACGAGATGGAAAAAATATTGATTGTTAATATCGGCCCGGTTTTATTTATTGAACCGATGCTGATATGTTAAAAAATGACTAACATCAGCCGATACCGATATTGATGCCAATATATTGTCCATCCCTACTTTATATCCTGCTCAGGTCACACCTTCAGTCCAGTATGTTTTAGAAAGGAAATGGGAGTTGGACCTGGGTGTTGAATTTTCGGATTTTGTCTGGGACAAGGTTCCAAGGAAAATTCCTAAATCGATATTCCGTTCAAAGTGGTGCACCGTTTGCATCGGTTCAAAGACAGATTGTCCAGGAATAGGCCGGACTTGGACATGCGAGCATTGAAAACCATCACCTGCCACTCTGGACTTGCCCAAAACTACTTGGATTTAGGTGGTCTATTGTTAATCCTCTTTCCAAGATATGTGGAACTGCTGTGAGCCCAGGTCCCTTTGCTACTCTGTTGTGAGTATTTAGAGTGGGTGCTTCTTTGGATGCCAGTGGAGCATGACTGGCTTTTGTTCCTTGTTGGCCAGAAGACTCTATCCAAATGGAAGGATTCTCATCCACCAACGTTTGGCCATTAGGTTAAGGACACCATGTGCTAGGTCCAGTGGAAAAATTGGATAAAATGTGATGCTATTTATGCCATTTTTTGATAATGTAAGTGCTGGCAGTTTATTCTGCGAGTGTGTATTTATGTTGTTTTTTATGTCAGCCTGAATCCTAGTATAATTTTTTAAATTTTATTTTCATCCAGTATACTGGGGTGGATGAATTTGGGTGGTGATATGTCTCTGTTAAAAAACATGCAGTGAAAACTGCAATAAAAAATGTTGCTAAAAAATTTAAGCAGTACCCACCAATGATGGAAAAAAAGGATGCAGTCATGAGGAATGCATAAAAAATGCTCATGATGGCAGCGATTGTTATTTGTGTGTTGGCCTTGGTCACAAAACAAATGATGATGTAGAACACTGGCGGGACACAGGCGATGATGATGGAGAGTGTAGCAGCGATTTGGAAGACAAACTGAAAAGCACCTGGTAAGAAGAGAAAATATCACAGCGAATGTGACTTATCCAGATGCTCCACTTAACAGTTCACGATGAAAACTTAATTACCATAACCAAGAAGTCGTAATAATAAACCAACCTGCTATCATGAGAGTCACAGAGGCTGGTCCCAGGATAGAAGAGCCAACAGTGAACATCTGATAGAAGATATAAAGCCTTGAGATGGACATGTTTCTCTTCACCGTCTCTTTGCCACTTTAATAAATCATAAGCACAGAAACAACATTAGAATGAATATCAGACTGTATAATCAGTAGATGTGACTAAAAATCTTAAATAATAGACAGAAAATGATAAACACAATAAGTCAAGTTTGAACATTTTATGATGACTATTCGGCCAGTGTCATAACTCAGTGTAATTATTGCTTTAGTCTATAGACCTGTGCAACAAGTCCAGCGTGTTAGCCAGAGTGGAAGGGCCCCATCGTCTCCTCTGGTTGTAAAACTCTTTGAATTCTTGTGGTGAGTTGGTGTAGGCATCTGATGCAGCGTTGTATTCCACACGCCATCCTTGTTGCAGCAGCAAAGTGCACAGCCAGCGATCCTCCCCTACAAAAGTCATAGAGATTCATCTTTAACACAGAGTTACCAGTGAAGCTGGGTTATGATATGAAATTTAAGCTGAAATTTAGTCACTGTGTGCAACTAACTACCTTGGTCATATTGCACATATTCGGATCCTCTTGTTGCAGTTGTTGTGTATCTCTTCAAAATATTGTCGTCCATTAAGGCAGAGCCCCGGAACAGACTGAAACATCCCGGACTGCACAGAACGGAGCCAAACACGTGCTCTGCTGTCTTCTGAAGCCAGTGGCCGACGGCATATTCAAACTTCTGATACCACACCATGGGACCTGGGAGGGGTAAGAGGGCATGAGTTGGTTATTAATTTATTTTTTATGAAAAGATTACATGATGATTTACATCAGAACAACCACAGGATTTTTTATTACCTAAATACCAATATATTGAAAAAATCCAATAGTATTTCCTTCTCTTGGTTATAGCTCTGCATTTTACATGCTATGTTTTCTTTTACTGCTTGTCATCTAAACTGTTTAAAATGAACCACAATAAAAACTCTACTGAACAAATGCTAAATAAGAAACAGAAACTAAAATAAACCCAGATCTGTAGGAAATAAAGCCTAAACTCACGTTTTCTATTAGCTCATGTTCCTGAGTATTTGAGAAGGCTTTTAGGACAGAAGGAAGCAGCGTCTGAATGAACAGCCTGCGACAGCTGAGGTACCACCACGTTTGTGATGGCACTGCCTGTTCTGATGCATTGTGGGAATTAGTGGGAATTGTACTGTAAACCCACCCTTTTACATCATATCATTTCACCAGTTTAATGCCTTTTTTTTCCACAAATTTTACTGATATTTGTTTCTTTAAAATCCCTAAGAGTATTTTTTTTTTACTTCAGCACACCTGATTTTAATTAGTGGGTGATTAATGGGCTTCAGTGTGCTGGAGCAGGGAAGTAACGGAAGTTACGGTGTAACTATGGTTCTGTGAGTTCCTGGATGACTGCCAGTGGCAGTAAACAGAGTGGATGTATCTCCTCGTGCTCTGCGCAGGTCGAGTACTAATGTAAACAAAGTCACGAATGTGACACGTAGCGCACCTGGTCACGAGTCTATAAATTACGCGCCGATAGCTACGTTCGGGTCTCCGGGGATCTTCTCGCCCGAGAAGTTCCGAGTGACCCCTGTGACTGGCAGTCATCCAGGAACTCACATAACCATAGTTACACCGTAACATCCATTCTGTATCGTTCCCTCCTGACTGCCAATGGCAGTAAACAGAGTGGATGACTTATGCCAGCAGTGTCACAAGGAACGCAAAACTTACCCCTACTCAGGAGGTAGCCGCCAGAGGCAGCTCCGCCAAAGCCAGCATGGAACCGTGGCCAATGTTGAGGCGGTAGAAGCGTGCAAACGTGCACGGAGTTGCCCAGGACACCGTTGCACAGACGTCCACCAGTGGCACGCCTCTCATCGCCGCCCAGGATGTAGTAACACTCCTGGTGGAATGGCACACGATCCCAGGGGGAGCCACTGCACCCACTGCCGCATAAGCCATCACAATGGCATCCACGACCCAATGCGACAGCCTCTGCTTCGAAAGGGCGCGACCCCTGTTGACTCCTCCGTGACAGACAAACAGCTAGTTCGACTACCGGATGGTGTTTGTGGCCACAATAAAGAGCTGCAGTGCCCGGACCGGGCACAGCAAATTCGCCCGCCGTTTTCCCTCCGGATGAAATGGGGGAGGGAAATACGCCCCCAGCTCGATTGCGGCATTTACGTAGCCAGAGGGCAGAACTTTGGGAAGAATGGCAAAGTTGGGCCACAGCGTCACCCCCGACCCATCTGCCTTCCACCGCAGGCAGGCGTAGCTGATGTCCAGTGCGTGCAGCTCACTGACCCGTTTATCCGTTGTCACTGCCAAGAGAAAGGCGGTTTTCACAGACACCATTTCCAAAGGGGCGGTAGTCATCGGCTCAAATGGTGGCCCACACAGGGCCTGCAGGACGAGGGGAAGGTCCCAAGCAGGTGCTGGCCTGCACAAGGGAGGTCTCAACCTTCTCACGCCCCGCAGAACCTGGGTCACCAAATAGTGAGCCTCAATGCTCCTGCCATCCACTAAGAGGTGGTTGGCTGAAATAGTCGCCAGGTATACCTCAAGGGTTGAGGCAGCCCGGCCCTTATCAAACAGGTGCCGGAGGTACCACAGAACCTCATGCAGGGAACAATAACCAGGGTCCACTTCCCTGCCGGAACACCAGGTAGAGAACCGCTGCCTACAGCGAGCGTACGTGGCCCTTGTAGACGGAGCCCTGGCACTATCCAGCACCTGCTGTTTGGAGGGCTCTAAGCCGACTGGGGGCTGCCTGCATCCCTCAATGGCCACACCGTGAGCCGAAGATGATCTGGAGACGGATGCCAAATCCTCCCCTCCGTCTGAGACAGGGGGTCCTGTCTCGCCGGCAACCGCCACGGCTCTCCATTCAACAGACTGAGAAGCAATGGAGACCAGACCCTCATGGGCCAGTCTGGCGCCACCAGAAGGACCTCGTGTGATGAGTCCCTCGCCCGATGGAGGGTAGGTAAGATCAATGGGAAAGGCGCGAAAGCGTACAGCCGAACCAACGGCCAGGCATTGGTGAGGGCGTCCATCCCCAGCGGGGCGTCGGCCTCTGCCAGGAAGAACCACAAGGGGCAATGCGTGCTGCTCCTCGAGGCGAACAGATCCACCTGGGCCTCTCCGAACTGATGCCACACCCTCTGCACCACCTGAGGGTGCAACCTCCCATCCCCCGGGGGAAGACCCCGCCGAGACAGGCAATCCACCACCGAGTTCCTCCACCCCGGAAGGTGCAGCGCCCTGATGGAGGCCAAGCGAGGGTAAGCCCAGGTCAACAGCGTCTGAGCCTCCCTCAATGATCGCAATGACCTGGTGCCCCCTGATGGTTTATGTGGAACACCGCCGAGGTGCTGTCTGTCCGGACGAGCACATGCTTGCCCCGCAGAAAGGGAAAGAAGTGCCTCATCGAGTCCCAACAACGCAAAAGAGCCACACAGCTGCTCGTGTCCTCCAGCTCGACCCGTCGGTGTCGCCGGGGATCCAGGCGGAAGCTGTTGAACCACCTCTGCAAGGGTCGAAGGTGGAGCAGCCCGAGAGGCACCAGTGCAGAAGCCGAGACCAGCATCCCCAACAGTCGTAGCCACACCTGGACCGGGGGTGCTGCCCCAAGGCGAAAGGCCCGGAGCAAAGACCGAATCCGGACTCTCCTCTGCTCGGTCAGCCTCGCCCGCATGGCCACAAAATCTATGGCAATGCCAATAAAATCCACCTGAGTCGGAGCCAGAGAACTCTTCTGCAGGTTCACCGTCAGCCCCAGCGCCTCAACGTGGGCAAGGGCACTGGGCATGACTAGACCCACTTTGCGACACAACGGCGCACAGACGAGCCAGTCGTCAAGATATGGCAGGACCTCCAACCCCGCCTGACACAGGGGGCTCAGGGCTGCCTTCATGCACTGCGTGAAAACTCGGGGGGCGAGAGACAAGCCGAACGGCAGAACCAGAAACTGGTACACCCTCCCGAGGAAAGAAAACCGCAGGTACATCCTGTGCCCCGGATGGATCGGGACATGGAAGTATGCGTCCTTGAGATCTATTGTCGTGAACCACTCCCCTGGACAAACCACCTGAAGGACATCGCGAGTCCGAAGCATGGGGAAGGGCAGCACCTTCAGGAACCGATTGAGACCCCTGAGGTCCACTACCGGCCGCAGGGACCCATCTTTCTTTGGTACCAAGAAATACGCTGAATAAAAGCCGTCTGCCTGCAAATGCGGCGGAACGACCTCTATGGCCCGTTTGTCCAGGAGACTATCTATTTCCTGCATCAGGATGCTGATCTGTGCAGGATCTGTGACCGAAGTCACCCTGACCCCCGAAGGGGGTGGGGGCCGACGGCGGAACTGCAACCTGTAGCCCTGGGACATGGTTCGAACCACCCAAGCGTCTCCGCATTGGGCCTCCCAGAGGGCCAGGTGCTGTGGTGAAAATCTGCCTGCCGCCGGCCCACGGCCCTCAGGCCATGTCCCGACGCCTGTTCAGGGCCCTGGGGTGGGGGGGTGGGGGTGGGGGGTGGGGGGTGGCGGCCCCTGTCCTGCCCCGAGGATCCCCGGGGCAGTGCCTGACCTTCCCCCGAGCGTCTCCAAGTCCCTGCAGCGGCCGCGGTCTGCTGGGTGACCTGCAAGGGGGCGGCCGGACGAAACCGGCGCCAAGGGTCCCGTGCCTCTCGTGGCCTGGACTGTGGCACGGGGAGGATCCCTGCCCCGCTATGCCCACTCCAGGCCTCTGCGGCCTGTCTGGACTGCCGCCGACATTCCAACGCCCTCTCAGCCTCGGGCCCGAACAACTGGCCCGGCACCACGGGCAGTCCGTGCAGGCTCTGTCGGCAGTCATCCGACACCGGGGCCTGCGCCAACCAGACCTGACGGCGAGCCACTACCAGTGTGCCCAACAGCCGACCAAGGCCCTCCTCCCCGAGGGACTGAAACTCGGAATTTGAGGCCCTCATAGATATCAGTTCGTCCAAGCCCCCCTCGTCCGGGGCTCTGGTCAGCAGCGCTTTGAGCTGTTCCACCTTCGCCCGCAAAGTATCCACTTCCTGGCGAGAGGGGTGCGCCATACGCCGCTTCTTGCGCCTCGGGCTGCCGCGTTCCTCAGCCGGTCCATCCCTCCGTCTCCCGGAACACGGATGAGGGATACCAGAGGGTGGCAGGTCTGACTCAAACAGGAGGCACTCTACTTGACGTAGCCTGTCCTCCCGCACCGCCAGCGGCAAAATGCTGCAGTTCATGCATGGGTCAGTCAGCGCTTCTCTGAGGTGACTGACACCCAGACACTTTGGACACAAGTCGTGGCCGTCCTCCACCTGGAGGGGAGCCCCGCATGACGTACACGCCAACATCCCTACCGATGTGGGAGAAGCCAGCGACTACACAGGAACTGAGCGAGGACTTCAATGAACACTGAAGAACGCGATTCAGTCCTGGAGTTGTTAAAAAACACAATGTGTGTGTTGGCTGGGTAATCTGAGCGTGACACCTCTACGGTCAGAACGTCCAGCCCCACTTACCTGTAGTGCTCGCCGGCCGCACCCCCTCCCCTTTCCACAGGGGAAAACAGCGACCGCCAGCGAGCCCTATCCGAGCCGGCAGCAGCGGTCCGAACGGCGCCGGTCGCACCGCCCGCTCTTGGTAACAATCGACAGATAACCGCGTCAATCCACCGCCCCAGAGGGCTCCCCTGAGCGCTCCGACCACCCGGTCTCGGGCAGGATGACGCCAAGTAGTAAGTGTACTCACCTTTAGACCGACAAGATCCGAATCACGGACTTACGGAGCGATTGACCCGCGAAGCACGCCAGGTCAACAGCGAGAAGATCAAAGAGACCCGAACGTAGCTATCGGCGCGTAATTTATAGACTCACGACCAGGTGCTTTACGTGTCACGTGCGTGACTTTGTTTACATTAGTACTCGACCTGCGCAGAGCGCGAGGAGATACATCCACTCTGTTTACTGCCACTGGCAGTCAGGAGGGAACGAAACAGAACAAAAATTTTATGATTAGGGGCTCAAGGACCAGAATTAGATGCCATCCCAAAGGATGCTAATCAAACCCATCACATGTGGGGTGAAGCTCAGCAAACTACATCAGTTTTACTCCTTTTAGCTCTACCCAGTGTGGGTAATTGGTAAAAGCAGTTGTCACAAGTAAACATTTGATAGAAAAACTGAAGAAGAGGAGAGAATATAGCTACAGTGATACATACAGTTAAATGCAGCATAAAGGAGAGGAAACCAGTGTTCTGCGGAGTTAATCTGAAGTGAAAGTCAGTTTGGGGCAGAATTAAGCGCCCTGCACACACTGCAAATAAAGCTCCAAGAAAAGAGGATCAAGCCAAGCAGATCACCTATGGTAAGAGGATGGTTGCTTAGAATTTAATGTGCAATTTATTGGTTCTGTGGTGTTGGACCTTTAAACTGAGGCCTTTTTGGTTCCAGAGTGCACAGCCTGTGTGGGACGGCTCAAGTTACTGTGGTGGTGATGGACTGGTATTTGATTAGGATTTATTAGATTTGTTTATGTTGAATTTGTTTGAAGCTTAGGGTTAGGATTTGAGTTTTGGATAGAAATAAAAGCTTTTAGATTCAGCTCTGTAGGCTGTCTGGTTCTGTTAGATAATCTATCAGCATGGAGCATAATGCTTCAATAGGATGTTAGGTGGATTGTCTTTAGTTAAATTAGTTAAATATGTAAGTTGGATGCTGAAATGAGACCTGGGTTTGGCTCATGACATTTCATTTCAAATGCTCTGTAGCTTATGATGGCTGAAGATGATGTCACAGGCTAGGCTAGGTACAATTATGAATGTGGCTCGTTAGCCTTGAGATCGACTTTTGTTCTGTAAACATATCAGAGCACATGTATGCATGAATGATTGAAAGGGGAAAACTTACCCATACCAGTTGGGTGGATCCTACCGCATGCTGCACCTACATTGTAATACATCCTCAGCCTGTTACAAAAACACACAACATTCAGTTATAAACAATTAAAGAAAAATATTTAGGACATTTTATTTCCAATTCATGACAGAATAAACTGGTTGGTTGCATTTTGCTGACCTGTCTACTAGCAGAATCACAGCTTTAGGATGGAAGTCAGTGTCTCCATCCAAAGCCAGAATATACGTGTTGTCATCATGAATTAACTTTCTCTTGTTGTCATTGTCACACGGAGAATTCACATATACATTCCCTGCACCATCCACAGAGACCAAACTGCCTCTGCTGGTTTTCTGGCGCTGGGATGAAATGAACAGACAGGTTCCAGAATTTTAATTAGGAACGTTTAGTGTTAAAGTATGAACTCAACAGATGTAAGAACAAAAGACCTTACTGGCATTTTATGAGGATTCTTGATGATGTAGCCTTTCCAGCCAAGCAGATAATACATGTACATGATCTGAAGTGGGTCAAAAATAAGCAGGGTGAACATTCGTGACATCACAAAAATGATAGTGGGCTCAAGCAGGAGTGTGTAGTTTTGATTCCTCAGTGAAACATGAAGGATATGATCTATTTGTTTATTCATAACAAATAAAATTGGACAAATGCACACAGAAGATTGTTTACATACCTGGGACCATCTTTTCTTGTTTCTGATGCGTCCTTTATCCTTCAGATGCACATAGAGCATGTTACCCTCTGGCAGAACAAACATTAACCTGCCACCATAGGGAGTGTCAATGATTGACACGTCATCTGGCTCTTTGCTTGTGAACACCCTGAGTGGGACGATGGGTAAAGAATGGGTTGGAATTTTATTTTGAACATGCAAATCTTATACAGAGTATACCTGTGCATTTGTTCATTCATGTATGTGTAATATAGATGTGGGAAACCTTACCTGTAAACCTCTATCACCACATGAATCAAGTCATTCACATATGAATTGACAAGTCTGTTTTTGGGGTCCTCTTCAGCTGTGAAGGCATCGTCTACTAAAATGTGGCACTCGAATTCAAAACAGTCCTTGTGTTCCTCTTTTGGGTCACCTCGATAGCGGTCCAACCTGAAACAATAGCCGTAAAATGATTTTGAATGGTCAAAGTGTTTCTTTCGTGCAAAACCAAAGAGTGTAATGGGGAAACAAACGGGTTGATATCAGACACCACACACTTGGATTATATCTCTAGGTTGGCCTGAGAAAACAGCACTGGCTTGCTGCTGAAGGTCCTCAGTCATCCAGGTCATGGTAATCCAAAAGGGTTAAAATAAAGGCAACTGAACTTCTTTGGTTTCTTGAAGATGTTTTGCTTCTCATCCGAGAAGCGTTGTCAATTCTCACTGGAATAAGGAAGGGTCAAGCTTATAAGCTGTAGCTATCTATTGTTTAACAAGCAGAAACTGCTTATGCATCCCCCTCCTCCCTACCCCCTGAGGAGTCGTTGCAGTGGTTTGCCCATTTTTTTTTTTTTTGTGTGGGAATGGTGGTTTCAATCAGCTGCAGGAAGGTGTGGCTTGGACTTTCAAAATCTGGTGTCCAAAACGTGTACTTTGCCTTTGTTATGGTTGGCTGTTGTACCAGGAAGTAGCATGAGTAGACAAGAATTCCTTTTCCAAGCTTTATTGAACCTGCATCACATGTAGTAGTCAGGCATTCTTGTTAACTCTCTCTCTCATGCACTTCTGCCTCCCTCCCTACTTCCCTTGTCCTGTACTGTCCCCAAGTGGTGGATACAAGATTCATCTTCAAAAGTGTGTCCATTGTCCTTCAGGTGTAGGTGGACCGCAGAGTCTTCACCTGAAAAGGTGGTTCTCCTGTATTGTGCCATGCACACAACACAACAACAACACAAGCGCATGGCACAACACAGGAAAGCCACCTCTTCAGGTCAAGACTCTGCGGTCCACCTACACCTGAAGGACAAGGGACACACTTTTGAAGATGACAAAGTACACATTCTGGACAGAGAAGACAGATGGTTTGAGAGAGGATTAAAGGAAGCTATCGAAGTCAAATGGGAAAGACTGTCTTTAAACAGTCACCCATGTCTTTGAGTCCAGTTGTCTTTATTCGAACCCCTTTTGAATTACGGTTTCACTGCCTCTACAACCTAGACCCAGATGAGCAGCAAAATGACGGGTCAAGACTCACTTTTCGAAAAGTTTTTAAAAATTGTTTCATTTCGCAAAAGCTTTCGGTTACCTGAACATGGAGGTGAGAATCTTCAGCATCTCATCATAGGTCTCATGCCACATGGTGGCACAAAGATAGATCACACAGTTCTGTAGGTCATCTTGGCTGTGGAGGAGAACGAAGAGATGGGACTGTTTTTGACATTTCATGCTGTTAACATTGTCACGTTAAGGAAACCTTTTGAGGTTCATAACACAATTAAAAATAATTTAAATGTATTCAGCTGTGTTTCTTTTGCAGTTTCCTTTTAACACATTCACATTATTTTCTAACTATTCTAAGGGCATCTAAAAATGTCAAATCTGTATAAGGGTCAGTGTCACAGTACCCTTAAACAATGATCATAAAACAAGTAGAAGAGATGTTTCCTTGTCCCATATATGAAGAAAGTTCTACTGTTCTTTTTTCTTCTTCTTTTTTTCATTTTTAGAGATGCTACTTGTTGTTTTCTCAGACTCCCTTACCTCTCGTTGGTTTGAGCTTTTGGTAGCTTCATCTTAGTGTTGAGTAGTAAAGACAGGTCGATGAAAGCCGATTCGTAGAGACGACGCACAAACAGCTGAGATGTCCTCTCTATACGCTGGACCTAACGCACGTTAAATCGCAGAAGTAAACATGTGGTAAGTTCACCATAAATCAGATACTAGTGCAGCTCTAAGCTAATGTGTGTGTATTATTGGAGTCTGATTCATCTTTGTATAATAGAGCTGAATCAAGTGTTATGAAAAAGCTTTTTATTAATTTAGTAATGAAATGTGTTTATTTACATACCTTGGTTTTCCATACATAATGGGTACTTGTGACAAATCCAGACCACATGCACACTCCCTCCAGTCCCAGCATAAGGAAGGGCCATTGCAAGTAGAAACTGTCAATCAAACAGTACATTAACATTTATATAAACGCCTACAAATCTCTTTCATTTTCACAGCTCAAAATGTGCAGATCATGTTCTGTTTTTGAATGGAAACATGCGTCTGAATAGGAAATCTACCAAATGAACTAGACATCGTCAGAGATAGTCTAAACATGTCCGTTCTTTCCACTCTGAACAGCTCTACACCACCTCTACATTGACAGACACATCTTTGAAAGGGTTTACTGTCCCCATTATATTCAACTTCAGCAGAGTGTCGCACCTGTTAAGTGATGTTCTGCAGATGCTCTTGGTCACCTCTAGTAGAGCAATGGGAGTTGTGTTTTTGCTACTCAGATAGACCAAGCTGTCACAGAATTCTGCCAACATATGAATTAAAACAAATTAAATAATGTTATTACAGTAAATTCACCAATCATACAGACATTGTGTCTTCTATTAAACCAAAGCTGTTGTTTAATAGAACACCTGCGTGACACCCTGTCCTTTTGGAGTCATGACTGGTGTTTGTAAGCTAATTTAGAAGATAACAGGCTGGACTTCTGTGTAATTTACGATCCCACTGATGTTCCTTCGAGACAAACACTGAGACATTTCTGGTGTAAGAGAGGAGATCGTCACTGGTTTGGACCAAAGTACAACTGGGTGCGACCGCAGCAACTAGATAAAATCCAGAGCTCTTCATAAATGGAGAGATCTCAAAACTGATGGTAAGATAGCAGAGGCTTTATTTTAAAGTAATTTGTTTTGTCATAGCAGTCTTTCAAATGCTTATTTTCAAAGGAAGTGAAGTATGATCAGTTCTGTCAACAGTAAGTGTATTATAACAAAAGTAAACCTCACCAGGATAATTTCCTGACTGTCCTTCATCCAGCTTTGCTGCCTGTGTTAAGAAAAGCAGGAGTCCCAACCCAAGCACTGTGGGTCCTGTGAGGCACAGAGGCAGAGCAAAGGCCATCCTGAGGGCATGGATCTTACAGGCGACGACACCAAACCAGTGGCAAGCTGCTGAACAGAAGGCCTGGTGCAAAATACAGAAGAAATAAACATTAGGCCTGCGGAAAGCTAATACTGAAGGTGTGAGGTGAAAAGTTACAGTGCAATCATTACACCAAACTGGCTTGAAATTCTCCTTCGAGGGATCATCTGGTAAAGTAATTGAAGCCATCCTTGCAAACTTTTCTTATTTTTAAATAGTTTTCTTGAGGCAGTATGTGCTAAAATGACCTTTACAGGGTTAATGAAAGGCCACCCAGCCCCGCTGTGGCCAGAATATTCCACTTGCAACTTCAGACTGGTGGGCCGCTTTGTTCGGATTGACATACCTGGCACTGCAGTCTGCTTCTAGCACGTTTCCTGCATCTTTTAGATCATGATCAGAACTGATGTATTTTTTTTTAGTGATGAATCACTCCTGTAGACAGTAAGGAAGGCTGGGGAGACGTTTCAGCTGTTAGATTAAGCTGTTAAAAAGACGAACGCACAGGATTTGCTATCAGTTCTACAAATGGACACTAGGGGGTGCTAAAAAGAAGCCAAAATTGCTTAGTTCCCCCCAGTTCCCCCTTAAGGAAACCGCTTTAGCTCATATGTATCCATTTATGACAGTTTATTGGAGTTTCTGTTACGGTTATGCTAAGAAAATAGCTTCAGAAGTCTTTTTTCAATTTTATTTTCATTACTGGAAACCATCTGACACCCCCTGTTGTTCTTGATTGAGAGTCCAAGGTAAATGTTAGGAAAAGAAGAGCCATTAGTTGGAGTTTACTTACATGCATGCATGCTTGCACACACACTGTACTTTATAGTGTATTACAATCCAAATCTGTCTGTTTCTCTCTTTCTTACTTGTAAGAAAAAAAGCACAAGTCCAATCTGTAGGAGTTCCCAATCACTGTTCTGCAGATTAAAGTCCGTCCAGGTGATGGTGTCTTCAATGAGCACATAGTAGATGAGGTAAACTCCCCCTAAAAATAGAGGAAAAAAATATATCTAACAATTAGAAGATGCATCATAATTTAAAATCTCATTTATTTAATGTAAACAAAACACATTCATAAGGAAAACCAAGAAATATCAATTTTCTAGTGGAGCAATTAGATATTTTTGTGTTGTACAAGATCACAAAGGCTCGATTTCCAGCTATTTAGGTTTTCAACTGATTAAGTATCCATAACATGCACACTCTGTTGTCATTACAGGAAAATGTTGTTTTCCTGTTTGAAATGATGGTTTTATGATTTTTTTTACGGCCTCAGTGTTGATTCACAATGATTTAAAGTGTTGATAATACACTTCCTGAACATGTCCAATCTTGTCACTGTGTTGTTGTGACAGGTGCACACATACAGATGATGATGGCTGATAATTACCTATCACCAGTATTCTCAAGATGCTGCTGATGACAAAGACAAAATCCCTAAAGCCATCCAGTTCTGACAGCGTTTCCTGTGAGGAAAGACACAAAAAGGGTTTCGCTCATAGTGCCAAGTCTTCATTTTGTATTTTAATGTACCAGCAGACATGCATCAGTTGTTGCTCAGCCAAAAAAATACATCATACCTGCATGTTGTTTGTTGCCTGCATTATGTTTTCCCACCAGCAGAGGGAGATGAGGAGTGAAGAGAAAATTCCAATTCCAATATAGATGAAACATTCAGCGCTTTGGTTATCCACATAAGATGTCCAGCGGACATAGTAATCAATTACCAGGAGGCTGTATCCTGTTAATCAGTCAATTATGAAGCTGCTTGAACACATTTTGAATTAGGATAATTTTAATGTTTCTATTTTGGTAAACAAGCATGTCATTGTCCACATATTAAGAAGGAAAATCCAAATATCAGCAACATAGGGACCTCTAATGAGCCATTAGATTATGTTAGGAAAGCCGAAATGAGATTTCTGCCTCAGAAAACACACATAATTACTACAGTCTCTTCAAAATTATACAATATTGTGCTTTTGTGTTTATTGAAAGGGATGTATATGCTAAATACAGTTCCGGAGTACACTTTACTAATTCAGCTGCACCCTTTTTAATTCATTTTATTCATAAACATCTCAAGGCATTTTGCAAAGTAAACATTTCAATTGAGTTCAGTTCATTATGCCAATTAAGTTTCCTTTTATAAAGGAACCCAGCAGATTGCATCTAGTCACTGACTAGTAGTCAGTGTCTTTACAGCAATCCCGATACAAAGCAAGCATGCAGCAACAGTGGAGAGGAAAACTCCCTTTTAATCTTGTAGCAATAATTGTTTCCTGAGCTAAAACTCAAAGGGATTTGGTTTCAAGTTCAACAGAACTGCTTAAGAAGCCTTAAAGAGTAAATTCTATACCACATTTTTCAATACAATTGCAATGATTTTTGGTATGAATTAATACCTTGTGAGTCTATCTCTGTGGAGGAAAAAAAGCTCTGGCGCTCCTGTTTTAGGAACTAGAAGGGAGCCAGGTCAGAAGCGAGCAGAAGATGGCAGTATTTAGAGTATTGTTTCCTGATATTTGGACATTTTTGCTAATTTGCTCATTTTCAGTCTGACCTATCACATATCACATATCACACACACACACACACACACACACACACACACACACACACACACACACACACACACACACACACACACACACACACACACACACACATATGTATATATATATATATATATATATATATATATAAAGTTTCTTGTTGAACTTGGACTTTTAAAATAGAATAGATCCCTGAAATCTACTTCTTGCCTTTATTTAATGTGATACACATGCTGATTCTAAATTAAAGAGGCTTGATATAAAGAGCTTTTTTCAAATTGTGAAGAAATTCAAGATGGTTACCAGCAGTGGTGAGAATCAGGGAGCAGATCGGGAACACAATCTTCCACTTTTCTCTTTGAAGTCTGAAAACTATCTGCAGTATCGCAGAAACGATACAGACTCCTCCGCTGATGAAGAGATTAGTCAGTATGTCAAACTGAGGCATGACGACGAGCACCAGGACTGAAGTGCCAAGAGACACCAAACACTCGATGAGGCAAATCTGCAAATGACAGGAATATTTACACACGAGTATTTCTGATCATTATAGATGATGAATAATAGTCACATTTGTCTCTTGTTAAAATCTTATTGTGGAGGTTTGGGGAAACGTACAGATGCCATGGTCTTCATGTTGGGTTGAACAAAACTCTTGAAGGCACACCGCCACAGCGATTTTATAAACACAAGGAAATTTGGGCTGACCAGGCAGAACACCAACATCAGCATGTAGAACTGCTTTTCCTTTGGGGTGCGCATTGAAGTTGGACTAGACAACGTTGACAACACCAAGAGAGACCCCTGAAAGAAGAAACAACTCTATGACTTTAATAAACAGCCAGGGCACAAAACCTAACAAATACTTGTTGATTTCTCTGGTCCACTCATAGTTTTAAACTCTTGTAATTTCTCCTTGAATTCATTTTCTTTCAATATGAGGAAATGAAAGATGTCTTGACAGGTAATCGCTTTTTCCCAGAGCAACATGCCAACCACACCTATGGGCACACCTCTGTTTTATAATACTAATTCACCTGCAGACTAACAAGGAAGTCCATTAGGTTTATCTGTATTGCTTTTCTTTGAAAAACCAATGAGCTGACATTTATGTAACCTGAGTGATTTATCAGCATTGATCTCAACCAGTCTTATTCAAGAAAAACAGAGCCCACCTTGTCTGAGACAAGATTATACCAACAACCTAAGACCAAGACCAATCTCAAATACTACAACACTAGGACCTACCTTTTTTTCTATTAACTGCTTCATCTTTTTTGCAAAAGCTTTATAGCCAGCTTCACTGCAAGCCAACTTCAGGGATCATTTCAAGACCCTGGTTGGGATTTCTAGGGCCTTAATGCTTGTGATGGGCAGAAGACGGAAGCTGCCGGGCTCTGAGGGTGTGGTGATTGGACACCAGCTGGTCCTCGTTATGCATAACGAGGCCAGGGAGGATAAAAAGGTGACAGGTCTGCTGAGAGGTGTGCGTGGTCGACCTGTCATTGTGGCATCGGACCTTGGGGGGTGGGGTCGTTCGCAGCCGGTTAGGGCTGCCGGCGACGACGACAGCTAGACAGGCATGCAGCGTTCCAGCGTCAGGAGGGAAGGCTTGTCGCCTTCTTTAGGCAGCGAGGGCTGGGCATAGTGGATGCCGAGACCACGCCGATATCTGCCGCTATGGACTCAGGCAGTTGGACTTACGTTGTGAATTTACCCGCCGCCCTCGCAAGCTACACCCCGGGGCGTTGGACGGCGTTGGAAGCTCAGACCCCGGGGAGGGGGGTCACCACATCTGAGACAGCTAAGTACCGCTGCTTGTGTGACTCATACTGGACTGTGATTTTAGGAGAGAGAGCTTGGGCCCTAGTGTTTTTATTGTCTTATGGTTTGTGCAATAAAGTGTGTCTTTTATAAGTCATTGCCTACTGGTGGTGTGTTCAGGTTCTGACAGGAGGGCAAGAGATTCTGCCCGTGCTGCCCACGGCTACTTTCATTACATGCTTTTATAGGACCAACATCTGTGTTTAGACACTTCCACTCACATCATAAATGATGTCAGTGTGCCTTTTCATAAACTCTTACAGGATTTCACCCAAACAGTCATCAGAGATCAAAATAGTCATGGCGCCATTCCACCAATCCGTGCGGGGCTATAACGTACCGACTACTGGTGTCTGCTGAGCCAGAAAACAGCTCGGTCTCCTGAGGTGGGTCAAGGTAGGGACACAAGGCAGAAGCCGTTTCTTGTTGAGAAGAGTAAATATTGCAATGTGCGCTTCATGTCAGAGTCTCTAAAAATCTTGTAAAAACATTAGCAAAAGTTGCTAACAGAATGTTTTTTTTATTAGGCAAGTTTAATTTCATTTAGTGTTCATCTTCCCAAGTAAACACTTTAAGGAGGTACTTGTTGTTCATTTTGACATTGATAAATAAATAAATAAACAAACATGAAAATTACAGAAAGCCTTTAACAAGTGGATCTTACCTTAGCAATAACAGCACTGACCAGGACTGCTATCCCCACAATAACAGCCACGAGGTACTGAGCCAGAACAAAACATCTTTTTTTCTGCTCCTTTTCTGCTCCTACAGGGTTCAGTTGGAACGGATCCCACGTATCCCTGGAATATAAGCAATAATATGAGGGTCAGCATTTCATTTAAAAAAGAAGAGTACACACACACACACACACACTCACTCACACTCACACTCACACTCACACACACACACACACTCACACAATCATTTTGAAGTCATTTGTATCAGTGTACAGTTGTTGGCAAGAGGTCCTAAATCTCAGCAGTCTTTGTAAACTTGTCACATAGAAGCCTACCTTATCACACATGAATAATTATAAATCAAATGTGGCAGGAAGTTTAAAAGAACTTCATTATTGCTTCATTTCTTATTATGCGGATTGTATATTTTGTTAGAAGTCTAGCAGTAAACATCTTGGCAGAAATGGTCATGAAACAGTCTTAATCATAATTTCTGTTTTTTATACATCCCAGATGTAAAATCGGACGCTACGTAGGTCACTCATCCCCTCTGCAGTGAGTGTATAACTCCTCAGATACATCATCAGGAACCGCCAAGGCATGCTCCGATGTCATGTGTTACCTTGGCGTCTGTTCTCAGTTTGATAGCCGTTTAGCTAGCTGAGCAAGGATACATGGGAGGTGCATTGTAGCCTGGCCTTGGTCAAAAATTTCCCAGAGTACAGCGCGGTATTCTCAAAAGGATGGTGGATCAGGAGCCGGCAGCTACTTCGGGGCAAATTTCCAATTTAAATGTAAGTCAACTAACTGTAGCTATCGAGCTGATATCTGAAATGTTTTTTTTTAGATCCAAAGAAGTTATCTATGGTTGGCTAGTTGCTTAGTAGTTGCAGCTTCGGTGGCTAGTAACTCGCTTACATATTTAATTTAACCAATATAGACACAATTTAAAAAGTAAAAGGCTCTTTATCCATTTATAATGAAACTTAAACGTATAAACATAATGTTACCTTGTGTCTCACGTGAGGTGATGTGACCACCGCGGCACCGAACATGAATTTCCCCACTGTGGGTAAAGTCTAATCTACAGTATTTTCTTTTGGGAGGACGGTCAAAGTGAAGAGAGCTGAATGGTTTTTACATGAAGGATGCAGTAAATGACTCGGAGTCAAACAGTAGTATAAAAACAACCTACTAAAGCTCTGGATTATCTCTGGTTATCCGTATCAGTGTAATTTGACTACTGAGGTTTAACTATGAGCCTTTTAGTCATCTAAACAGGTACATGATTAATGTCAGCACAGACCAGTCACCAGGGTGTTGGCTCTCCGCTGATAACACTGTGACCTTTGACTGTGTCATGGCAACGACCAAAACCACAGAAAAGTCTGGATTCAGGACAGCCCCGGCCACGCTGGCAGATGGGCTAAATGATCCACACATACACAGTCAACAGCATCTCTTCAATCCTATCTGGATTGAAGAAATCGCCTTAAAGTGTGTGTTTATTCACACCAACGTGTTAAACGCAAAGGCTCGGTTGATAAACTGAGTCTAAGGTTTTGAATCTCTTAACATTGTTGTTAAAACATGGTCACACTCTTTGTAAACATTTGTTTTTACTTTATAGCTCATTAGGGTTTCACTGTAAAACATTTCAGACCAGTTCAAGCATTATGATGATATATTTGACCAAGACTCGGCTGTTAAACAGCTTTGTTTGTAAAGTTGTACAGACTAAAGTCTATATTCAAAAGGGTCGTTGTCTCTATTACAGAACATTCAGACACATTGATTGTTCTTAACATTTGGCAGTGAAACACACTCATAATACCTGCCTAATGGCTAATTTGGCACACCTTAAATACAAAGAAAAGTGAGTGTCTGTCCTGCGAGTCATCATATTCTGTCATCTGACAAATCAGAACAGATTTGGGCCTTTTGGAAAGTCGAGGTCTTAAAGGGGCCGAAGTAAAAAAAAATCATAAAATTCTATAGCATAAAGTCAGGCAAAAGTACTCATTTTTAAATTATTTAGGGATTTGGGTAACACTTTACAACAAGGGCCCCTTTTACATTTTTTAGACAAATTTGTCTTTTATGTGACCTGGTTGTATGCTTTTATGCTCCTTGTTTACATTTTGTATGGTGCTTTTGTGTCTGTATGTTTTGTTTAAAATCTTTATTTAGCATTTTCCTTTATCACGATACAAACCATAAACAGTACAACAAGGGACACAGAGAACACAAGGGGGTACTGTAGGATCAAATATATGAAAAAAAAAATAAAATAAAAAAGGGTACTTCATAAAGGTGATTATGCCACCATTTTCCTTTAAGCTATCAATTTTGTCCAATATTTATAGTATAGGTGACCTTTGAGGTGTAAGAAAAATGTAAGCTTTTCCATCAAATGAATATCCTCCACAATGTCCAGCCAGTCTTTTATCCTAGGTGGGTCATCTTTGAGCCAGAACCATGTGACAACCTTCTTATATGCCAGAAGCAGGATTTTAAACAGGTAAGAGTCCGGGTCCTCAGTCACTTCATTCAGTAGCAGTCCCAACAACACAGTCTTAGGGTCCATAGGGATGTCTATGCCCAGTATCTTTCCTCAGATCTGTAAGATGGTGTCCCTGGTCTGCTGTAGCTTTGGGCCCGACCCAAACAGATGAGAGTGATCTGCTTTTTGATGTCCACACTTTCTCCAACATAGCTGCAGAGTTCCTTGTTTGCTGGTAATCTGGGGTGTGATTAAAAAAATCTGACTAAGCTCTTCCATCCAAAAACCCTCCATCTTTTTGAGTTGGTGGATGTCTGTTGGGTCATGCACATCGAAACCCATTCCCCCTCTGTGATCTCCACACCCAACTCCTTTTCCCATCTTATTTTAATATACAGTGTATTGTTTCTTCTCTGTCCCTGCAGTCCTCTATACAGTTTAGAAACAGTTTTACTGGGTAGGCACTTATAGGCCTCTCTGAAAATCTTTATGATGGCATTATCTCCAGCGGGGATATCCTTCTTTATTTCCGTGTTATAAAAATGTCTGACCTGAAAGTATTTAAATAAGTCTCTGTGCTCAAGTTTGTATTCTTTTCTCAATTTTTCGAATGTTTTGAAGATGTTTCCTTCTACACACTGACATAATGCCAATAGACCTCTGTCCCTCTAACTTGAAAAAAGTGGATCAATTTTTCCTGGTCGGGAGCTAAGGTTCATGGAGGGCCAAATCAAAACGCTTTGAAACATTCATCAAGTTGTATCTAACCATAATCTTCCATGTTATCGAAGCGTCCTCAACTATACGGCATCCATCTTTCTCTGGAGTAAATTTGCCCCCCAGGCGTGTGTGGGGTTGGCTACGCCCCTGCATTAGTTCTATGTGCCTCCATCGAGCCTCTACTTCTGAGGAACACCAGCAAACCATATATCTTATTTGAGCAGCGTAATAGTATCCCCTCAGGTCCGGGAGCGCTAAGCCACCATGATCTTTGCCTAACTGAAGGGTCTTGAATTTTATTTGTGGTCTAGCCCCAGACCACACAAATCTTGAGATTAGCTTATCCCAAGCAGAACATTGGGAGTCTGCAATTCTAATAGGCAGGGACATAAAAAGAAACAGAAATCTAGGGAGGATATTCATCTTCACTATGTCTAATCTGTCAGTAAAATCCAGCAACAGCCTTGCCCAGCGTCTCAAATCTTCCTGTATGGAGTCAATCATTTTATCAAAATTAAGTCTCTGCAGGTTGGCCAGTTCGCGAGATATGACCACCCCCAGATATTTTGGCTTCTTAGAATCCCAATTCAGTTAATATTAGTTTGTTATGGCTTTATTAGGAGAACAATTGAAAGTCAAGGCTTGTGTCTTGGCGATGTTCAGGTGATAACCAGATAACGTGCCAAACTTTGTCAAGGTCTTCTTTAACTTTGGGAGGGTCACATCAGGATTCTGGAGATAAATGATGATGTCATCTGCAAAGAGGCCAATTTTGTGCTCAGTGTTTGCAATGGTGACACCTTCCAGTGCTGTGTTCTGCCTGATTGCCTGTGCTAGGGGTTCTATAAATAACGCAAAGAGAGACGGGCTAAGGCAGCATTCCTGGCGTGTTCCCCCGTGCAATTGAAAGTTGTTAGTCAGGTGGCCATTTAATTTAACTCTGGCAGTTGGTCTGTCATATAGGGCTTGTATGCATCTGATAAACATATCATTGAAGCCTAGGCATTCTAAAACTGTAAACAGAAAGCTCCAGCTGATGCATTCAAATGCTTTCTCTGCGTCAAGGCTGACCAAAACCATACTCAGCTTTTGCCTATTTACCTGGTCGATGATGTGGAGTGTTCGTCTTACTCTATCGTGGGAAGCGGCCGTTAATAAAACCGGTTTGGTCCTCATGGATTAATTCTGTCAGGTAATACTCCTGTCTCTTGGAGATTATGGAGGTAAATAATTTATAGTCCACATTTAGTATAGTAATCGGCCGGTACGATTCGCAATATTCTGGGTTTCTTCCTTCTTTAGGGAAGGCTGAAATTATTATCTCCCTCCATGAGGGAGGTATCTGCGTTATTCAGTGTCCAATTAAAGGATTCTAATAAGATCTCAGCTAGCTCATCCTTAAAGATCTTAAACCACTCATTTGGGAACCCGTCACTGCCCGGACTTTTATTAGATTTAAGATTTCCGTTTGCTTTATCTAATTCCTTTCATGTAATAGGTGCTGTCAACGCTTTGTTTTGAATTAATCTTAGTGAGGGCACATCTAAGGCAGACGGGTAGGTTTTGATCTTATCGTCATTGACTTGTTTCAGGGGTGTATATAACGATTTATAGAATTCTTCAAAAAACCTTGTGAATTTTACCTTCTTCATGAATTGGCTTGTTGGTTAGGGGGTCCCTAATTTTATTTACAGAGTGCCTCTGTTGCTGCTTTCTAAGACACCTGGCTAATTTCCTAGTGGCCTTTGGACCTGTTTCGTAGAATATTTGCTTTGACAATCTTAATTTTTTCTCTAGTTCCTCCTGTATTACCTCATTTATTCTGTCCTTGGTTTCTCTTATTTGATCTGTTAATTTAGGATCATTGACATTCTACTGTCGTTCCAGTTCCAGGTTTTTAAGTTGCTTTTCCAATTGTTCATATTGTTGTCTCTGTATTTTTTTCAAATATACAGTTCTCGAAATCAGTTTCCCTCTCATAACCGCTTTAACTGTATCCCAGACCATTGTTGGTTTTACCTGTCCATCATTGTTTTCCTTTACGCATTCTGAAATTTCCTTTTATATCTCCTTTGTTATAGCTTCATTGTTAAGAATTCCAACATTTAAGTGCCATACCAGAGCTCTGGGTTCAGTGGACAGACTAACAGTTAAATAGATAGTGTTATGGTCTGACAGATCAGCCGTTCCAATTGTGCATTCCCTCACTTTGCTTCTATCAATGACATTCATTACAAAAAGATCAATCCTCGAATGCACTTTATGAGTTATGAATAATGAGTGAAATCTCTTTCCTTAAGATGGGAGTCCCGCCATTCGTCAAACATATCTGATTCTTTTATTAGTATATTTAGATCTTTGGACCTGTTGGATTTCTGCCTTTTATTGCTTGTCTTATCCAGGCTGAGATTGAGGATAGTGTTCCAGTCACCTCCACACACTAAAACTCCTTCACTTTCCACCACTATGATGTCAAAAAGTGTTTTCAAAAAATGCTTGTCGCTCTCAGGAGGCACATAGGTATTGACCAGAGTAATCACGACGTTTTAAATTCTCCCTCTAACAATAATGAACCTGCCTTCCTTGTCAACCTTTTCAGATATTAATTCAAAGCTTAATAAATTCGAAATCAGTATGGCCACACCCCCTTTTTCTGGTGTTCTTGCAGGAGCTAGAAAAAGTGTTTAGATATCCAAATGCGTTGAGCTTTTCATGTTCTTGTTTAGACATTTGGGTCTCCTATAGAAAAGCTGAGTTTCCTCCTTTTTAAATGTAGTTAGGACCCTTTTCTTCTTTACTGGGCTGCTCAGACCGTTAACATTTAAAGAGGCAATTTTAAGGTTACATGACATACCTGTTGATCAAGAACTTGATTTTTACAGTGTCCCCCAAAAATACACAATGAACAGAAAGAAAGATAAAAAAACTTCACTGAACTGGCTTCCAACCGAAGGGGGAGTGTTTGCCCCGCTGGCGAGCCGAGGGTTGAGCCTCTCAGCATGAGAGGGCCCCCTGAGGACGGGGCGCATGCGTTAAATGCGTGCCCATCCAACGAGTCCAATGTGTGGTGAAAAGCCACCACTTCCCTCACAACAGGTTATCAGGAAAAAGAGAAACAGGTCCAATAGGTCTGTATTGTGCTTCCACAACTGTTCTGTTCCAATGTAGATTAATGTAGCTTCATTCAGATCTTAATAAGACTATCAGTGCAAAGGGATGCTTCCACAACATGCTTGGTGGCGAGTTCACAAACATTGACTTGAGAGGCTCTCGAACACACCTGATGGCCCATCAGCTGTGAAGACACAGGTCATAAAGCCCACTATCCCTTTATTTCTGCTGGAAAACAGATTGATTTTTTCTTTCCGAGTTCTAAACAGCATCCTTACAGTCCGGCTCCTTCAGCTCAGATTATTTCAATTTTCCTCGATTTTAATTTTCATCCCTCTGATCATTTCTACATTACTCATCACAGAATGAGCTTTCCACAGTCCTGAGTTTTGAAAGCTGCCGTTTGTTAACCAAGAAACCCGACTCATTTTATGCCTCAGAGATGCCAGTATAGAGAATGTGATTAAAACTGTAGTATGTATTTAAGATTTTAAACAGCCCCAGTAACAGCAGGCGTTAACAGTGGGGATGATATCAGCCACAGCAATAAAAGAGAAGCACAGCAGTGCACAGGGGAAATTAAGTGTTCCCTCAAACTGTAAATTATATTTAATTGAAACCTGGTAATACAAGTGAGCAGTTTTTAATTTTATCCAACTCTAATATCAATATCACTAACAATTAACCTCCTAACAATGATGAAGAGGTTAATAAAGCTTGATTGTGTGCCTATGGACAGGAAATGGGAAACTATTCTAGTTTAAAGTTGTCTGTTAAATATGCGTACATCCTTTAGAAAACATGTTTGAAGGTTTGAAGCTCAGAACTTTTGCTACGAGGAGGAATTACAGTTTCATCTTCAGTAAAGTGCAAAGAAAGCAGAAATTGCAGCTTTCAAAAGTCAATTATGAGCTGATTTTTACATACTGAAATTAGAAGAACAAAATAATTGATCTACATTCATTCTCTGATTTCCAAGTAAAACTTCGCATTGTGTAATACTTTCTTGTATAATGGTGAACCTCATTGGATATTTCCTTGGAGCAGGCAGGAAATAAGCCAAAGAGAGGGAAATTAATCTCTAATAAGCTAAATGAACGTGTAGCCAGCTCATTGTGTGTACTAGTCTTATTCATTAAGGCTAATTAAGATCAAAGTGTGCTCACTGGGCTGCCATTAACCTAAATACCATTTACCAATTTGCATTCATCTCTTTTCACATTTTGTCCTCAGCCTCTTTTTTTGTGAAAGAAAGTATCTTCTTGGACAAAACGGCAAATAAGAGAAGATGAGTGTAACGAGGCAGATGGTTACCTGTGTCTTCCCTCTCTTTTCTTCCCCCTGTATTTCAGCTCCTCCATTGTGCTTGTCTACTTTCCACACAGGACCTGAAATCCGTAGTCATATTTATTATCAGTCACATTAAGTATTTTAAATTAAAGCATGATATAAGAACAAAGAGTTTGATTTATTTTAATTCTATATAAACCGAGCATTCTCTTACTAATAACGCCCTTACCTTGATAATTCTCCTTTATTTACTTTTCTTGTCTTTCTTCAAAGACGTGCCAACCTCATGTAGAAGCCAGGTTCTCTTTTATGTGTAGATATCATGAATTTCTTTTAAAAAGAAGCTTCAACTTGTTCAGAAAAGCACAAGAAAGAACATTGTAATCCGCCCGTGTGTCTCTTGCAGCCTGTGAAGCGGTTTGTCCTTTGTTGGATTGTTCTGCTGCTTTATTACAAGCTTATGTAAAAGATACACCCATCTACTGACAGTGAGTTTCTGCCCATACAGGTGTGTTCACATAAGGGTTATCACAGTTTATGAAAGATACGCTGACCAGGAAGTGTGTGTGTGTATGTATGTGTGTGTGTGTGTGTGACTGTGAGATGTATCAAAGTCTGTCAGTGACAAATAACAACAAGTTATCTATGCAGGTTTTATGAGAGCAGTAAGATGGTACAAGGGTCATTACAGGGGAAAAAGATGGAGCCTCTTGGCCGCTCCCTTCTCAGTGCTGCTGAACTTCTTCCTCTTCTCCAGCACCAGTTAAACCAAAGTTCAACAGTAATAAAAGCAAATCTTTATTTTTTTTTTATTTTACGGCTGATGAAAAGGTATTTTACAGAGCAGAGCCATCGTTTGATTTCCAGGGTTGGTGGGGCGCTTACAAAGATAGGAATTCACATTTGTTAAAAGTTTGTGTTCAGTGTTGTTGGTCAGTCGGTGTTTGAATGTCACCACCAGGTGTCACTACAGAGCTGTAGATGTGGCTTCCACCCAGACCTGAATGCTTTCCCACATTTCTGTTGTGTGAAAGAGAACAAAGAGAATACTCCCTGGTAATAACAGTTCATTTCATCTAAATAAGTGAGTTCAGGGTTTATGCTTGTGTGTTAATGATGTGCATGGAATCAAAAAAACATCACTGTCACTTTGTGGGCCTTGGATGTGTAAGATGCTTTGCCAGTGTATAATAATCTGGCCATATGGTCATAGTTGGTGGTGGTTTCTCCCTCCTCCTTCAGGTGTGGAGTCTGACAGAGATCCCACATTGCAGCGAGGATAGAGAGCTGATTTATAGGTTTGATCTGCGGACAAATACCGCCATTTGTCTTTTGTAAACAGGACTATAACATAACAAGTGTTTGTTAACCCATGAAAAGAAGGTGTGCATGGATTTAAAAAGGAAACACACAGTATCAGAAATGAGTTTGGTGTTTGTCATCCCCCGATAACTGTGATCTCAGCTCGTCAGTCCTGCTCTATGATCTGTGAAATGTGGTTCACATCACAGCGGTGATGCTACAGAGGGCATTGTTGCTGCTATGCACAGCTGAGGTCGCTTAGATCTACAGAAAAGGTCAGTAGTGGGGCACCCAACCTTGTCTCTGATTTGGTCTCACGGAAATCTTCAGTGTCAAAGTATAATTAGTGACCATATGGGCTACATGGTGAGAATAGCTTCCTGCAGCAAGCACGCACAAGGAGAGGGTATGTCGACACAGTTTATCTGCTGTGAGACGAGAAGGAAGGAGTTGAATCTTTTAATCTGCAATTCCTGCATTTGATTGGAACATTTTTATTCTTCAAAACGGAACCCTTTAATTGGTTTTAAAGATGAGCTTGGTCACAGTGTTTAGCACGGCGGTGCAGTAATTAGTCCTGTCTCATCACAGCGAGAGGTTCAAAACTTGCCTGCAGCCTCTCTGCGTGTTCACATGTACTCTGTGTGTGTGTGTGTGTGTGTGTGTGTGTGCGCGCGCTGGTTTCTCATCACGGTTCAGAGTTGTGCATGTTAGATTAATTTCTGTTTCTAAATTGTTCATGCATTAAGTGTGACTTATAAGGGTTAAACCTTACATCGTGCTCCTGATCACAGAGAGTATGGCTCTCCAGCCCACCCCCAAAGTTGTGATTTTATATATATTCCGCTACAATACTAATTAAAATACTGGTGTGTTGCATTGCTGCAAGGAAGCATTTACACCCTTACAGATTTCTAAATGAGTCAATATATATATTTTTTTCATTTTTTATTTAATTCAAAGAAAAAAAAAGTAAAACAAAAAAAGATCAGAATAAAATAAATAAACGTAAAATTCTATCCGATATCCATGAATGAAAAGGAGCAGACAGAAGAATACATCTTATGAAGCTCTGCCCCTTTTTACAAAATGAAAACATCATCAGCGTTACAAAGAATTTTTAATAAAACATAACAGTTGTACTTAGAATGTGAATAAATCACAGGACCATATAATGAATAAATGTTAATCATCCTGTCCCTTTAATAATCAAGCATGAGCATTTTGTTTAGGTCCAAGTTCAGGGGGGTCAGATTGATTCGCTGGAGTTTTTGATAATAAAAATTTGCAACTACATTTCAAAGTTGACACATTTCTTTCAATAATCACAGTTTTGGCATCTTTACTGCTCCCCTGCTTCAGCCCTCTCCCCCGTCCCCCTGTGCAGTGACCGCAAACTCACTGGTGCGTCTGCAACCTCTCAGAGTTCCTGCTGATCTAAACATTGAACGAATAATTTAAATTTTCTGTTCCTCACATCTGATTATTTTCAATGGTGTCTGTTTGTTTCAACCACCAGGTACAAAAAAGAACTTGATTTTGTTTGACTATTTTTCTGCCCTTTCTGTTTATCTTCCTGCATTTCCTCTCAATCCTAAAGGAAAAACTGCTACCTGGTTTCATATTTTTCACCTTATGAGTTACCTTTAAACTGCTGTTCAAAAAGATCTACTGACTGCAAAAATAGTGGAGTGCGTGCTGCGCGCCGGCTACACTGGTGCAGTAAGGTCACCGGAAGACAAAACAAGTGATTCAAATTCAATTCAAAAATATTTTATTAATCCCAGAGGGAAATTGATTGCGCTCTACTCTGCAGCAGCGAAACGCATCAGACACAAATAAAAGACAGAAATCTTAAAAGGACATAAATGATCACGTGTTAAGTTTGTTTTTGAGGTGGCGACACTTCGAGAATGTTACTGTGGCCGTGCTAAGGACGCATCTGTCTGGAGTGCATCAACTGTAACCCAGAAGCTAGAACCTTAATGAGGTATTAACTAATTGGCTTACTAATATGATCCATCCTCAATTTAGATAAAATATAAAATATAAATTAAGGAAATTAACAATACTAATTAATAGATATCTAATTAACTAATAGATAATTTCATAATGAATTATTGGAAGGGTGAATAACTAAAATAACGAGTTTAATATTAAACATCGGTTAAAACAAGAATCTTGAACATCCCTAACAGAAACAGAAGAGGAAAGCTGTATACTATTGGTCCAGGTGGGAATCTGAAATTTCATTGGCTGAGAGAAATAAGTCCCGCCTCCGCGAAATAAAACCGTGCGACGCAGCTGAGCGAGAGGAGAGACAAACGGCTGTGCAGCACGCAGATACAGAAAGCAAAGACTGAGCGGTTAGAGAGAGAGAGAGAGAGAAAAAAAAAACAACGGTCGAGGCCGTGAAGAACCCTGATTTGGGTGCCGCATAGATAGAGGGAGAGGCGGACTTGACTCCTTCTAATAAGAGCTAGGAACTTGGAACCAACGCGGTGAGTAAAGAAAAAAGAAAAGAAAAAGCTAACGATGCAACTTAAAAAAAAAAAGGAAACTTAAATAGCTTATCAAATTAATTCCATTCTTATAGATTTGTGTGGAGACGACAGAGTGAACCAATCCTCTGTAGGAGGGAACCGTTGGAGCGCGTTGGTGAGTGAATGAGATTAAATTCAGTAAATTATTAAATTCAAAAAGCTAATTACAGCAACCGAGGTGACAGCAGTGGGCTGCTAGACGTTAGATCCCAGGAGTTAACATCTCAAACTACCAGTTAACGGTGGTAGGGCATATAGGAGTTAACGGCTCAAACCGCCAGTTAACGGCGGTACGGCATATGGGATTCCCAGGAGTTAACGGCTCAAACCGCCAGTTAATGGTGGTACGGCCTAGATGTACAAGGTCCTCAAGGGCGTTATAGCTAACGCCATAGAATTAGCAATGCGTCCCTTAACCAAACATTTAATAATAAAAAAAATAGATAAATAAAAATAAATAAAAGCTAACTGATTAGGGAGGAATTATTTTACAAAGGTGGACCAAAGGACCAGAATTTATATTTTGTTGAATTTTGTTATAGAACATTTTATTTATTTATTTATTTATTTATTTATTTATTTATTTATTTATTTATTTATTTATTGTGTTACAGATATACAAGGTGTCACAATGCTGTATAGAAACACAACTAAATGTATCCTTGTTGTCATGAATGTATTTCTTGTCGAATAGTGTAGAGTAATAGAATCTAACTGAGCCTATTGAGCTGAACAATTGTTGTCATATGTAATTATATTTCCAGAGCTACTGAGAATTATTTTAATAGACAATCAAATTGATGTTATGTTAGTTGAACTGTGAACCCAAACATGATTGGCTATGCCAATAGAGTGAAGCATTTGTTTAAGTCTGTAAGACTTTATGCTGTGATGTGACGAGAAGGGTCGATGCCAACTTGCTAACAGTCCTGTTGTTTACAGGCTGGGTTTTTTTTTTTTTCCTTGGGTTTGATCCCGACTCCTATGATCACTCACTTGGAACGAGAACTGGATTTCTTCCTGACGAGGGAGATGGCGAGCCTTAACCACTGAACGGACCAGGACATCTCAAGTAACTGAAGAGCAGACTGCTCTCTTCTGTGAACAATCTCAACGGTGTGGTAGGAAAAAATCGCACCACCGGACTCTGACTTTCACCCCAAGCGTGGGGATTTGACTTGACGCCGGCTGACTTGTGACTCATATGACCAAATCTCATCCCGACCATTTTACTATTGTCGATTGTTTTCATCTGTTTTTGTGTGTTATCTTTATGTGTTATATTTCCCATTATTATTAAAATTTAGTATATAAACCGTTTCATGCTATACCCGTGACTCCAGTCATTCTTAAACAACCTCCAATTCTCCCCGAACCTAATTATTGGCCCATTTGTTTATTTTTTCTTTTAATTATCTTATTGTATCCTGTAATCCGGTTACATAAAACTTGGCGAGCCAGCCAGGAGAATTGTAGAGTTGTTACCTTAGCTAACCATTGACTGACATCATAAGAGTGCCTGGAGGTCACAGTGGTTTGCCATTTTGGCATTATTGGTACTTTTGAGTGTTTTAAAATGGAAGTTGTGAAAACAGAAAAGGTCAAAGTTTCAAATGCTGTTTT